CCCCCCGCCTCCGCGGGGCGAGAGCGCCGCGCGTGTCCCTAGGATTGCATCGGCTCTTCGCGCAGGGCTCGGAGCTCCGGGCCCCCGGCACACGCCAGCCACCGGCTTCTCCTCCGAGGGGCAGCGCAGACGCACGGGCGCCGTCCCAGCCTCGCGCCCCGAGCTGAGCGCAGGCGTGGCCGTGCCGCCCCCCGCCCCGCGCGTCTCCCCGCCAGCCCCCGCCCGCGGCTCCGCGCGCCGCCAGAACTTTGCCACCGGCGGCTTCGTGATCCCGGCCCCGAGCGCCCCCGCGCGCCCGGCCCCGGAGCCTCCACTCCCCGGCCCAGCGCGCACCTACCCGGTTGGCTGCAGGCGCCATCGGCTCCCGGAGAGGACGCCCCGGCGCGGGGCCCATCGCCGGGCCCCACCGCGTCCGCGCACCGCTCGCAGGCTGCGGGCCCCGGGGCGCGCGCCGGCCCGGCCCCCGCCCCACAGCAGGGTGCCGGCTCGCCCTGCGCCGCCAGCTGGCGGACGCGCTCCCAGGAGCCCGCGTCGGCCGCCCGCATGCCGCGTGCCCGGGGGGCGCTGCCCGCGGCGGCGCTGGGGGCTCCCACGGCGGGGCGGGGGGACTCACTGGCCGCGGGGGCCGCCGCCGCATCGGGGTGCAGCCGAACGCCGTCCGCGTCGCCGGCGCCGCTGCCCGCGCGCGCAGGACCAGGGCTCTCGATGCGGCCGGACGCTGGCCGTCCGCTGCCGCCGCGCGCGAGGAATTCGGCCGCCGAGCTTCTCACGTGGGAACGACTCCGGGCCCCGCGGCTCCTCCTCCCGCTGCTTCCGGGCTGGCGAGGGGCGGCCGCTCGCCCCGCCCCGGGCCCGCCCACGCCCCGCCCACGCCCCGCCCCTAGCTCTCCGCCGCTCCCCCGCCCGCTCCGGAGGATCGCGAAGCGCCGGTCCCGGTCACCCGGTGCCGCCTCGCGGGGTCATTGCTGGGAAAACAGCGGTCGCGAGAGCCGGAAGTGCAGGCACCTGAGCCCTGGCCGAGGGCTGAAGCTCCCCAGACCCGGCCGGGAGCGGGTGGCCGCCCCGGGCCCAGCCCACCACTCGTGGTGGCTGTGACCCTAAGCCTTGAGTGCTTGGAGGGAATGGAGCGCCGGGCCTGCAGACCCTGGGGCGAACCTCCTTCCCCCAGCCTCAGTGTTGCTTGGAGCCCCCCACGGCAGCAGCCACGTGCAGGTGCGGCCCGGACCCCCGGGAGTGGGCTGCGGAGGTGGGGGAGAGGCCTGAGGGCCCTGGAAGCCTGGGCGACTCAGCCCACCTGCGGTGCTCCAGCTCAGGGAGTGTGCAGCTCAGAGGCCCCCCCACCAAGGACCAGTGACCCCCTGTGCTCCCTGGAGCGGCTCCCTTCTGTTGTGGACCCCCAGGGCGAGGCCGCTGAGGACCCACCCCCAGTGCAGCGGGCACCCACCCGACCGAGCCTGCACCCCCCACTCATTCCTTTTCCTGGCCCAGGCCTGAGCTATGGGAGTGTTTGCAGCTCTTAGACAAGCTGTGAAACCAGACTGTCTCCCCAGGTCTAAACCTCCCCTCCTCATTGTCCCACCCTGGGCAAGGAGCCCTGCCTTTCCGTGGCCACAGTGGCCTAGCCACCAATGGTCATGGCCTTGTCAGCTTCCAACCACGCACACAGACACACAGGCACTCACATATACACACACAGGCACACACACAGACACACAGGCACTCACATATACACACACAGGCACACGCGCCTCCTGCCCGCCTTCCCAGGGACTGGGGCTGCCTGTGCCTCCGGCCTCTGACTCCCTGGAAGCCCTGACTTCCTGGTGGAGGGCAGAGGGCCAGGCCAGATCCTGGTGGTGTTCCCAGCTGGCCGGCAGGCTAGAGACCCACACTGCTTCGGAGGAAGACCCGCGACCCTGCTCCGGGTGACGGGAGAGGCTGGGGCTCCCCCATTTGCACCTCTGCTGCAGTGACCGGCAGAGCGGTGGGGGCGTCCTGACTCCCCGTGCTGAAGCTGGGACCTCAGAGCCGTGCAGTCCAGGGGTCTCCACCTGAGACCCCCGGGGACCCACGCAGGGACGTGGACAAGGGGATTGTTAGGTGGAACCTGAGTTCGAAATGTCGGCAACACTCGGGAACGTAAGAAGGAAAAGGAGGAGGAGGAAGAGCCACACAGTAAACGCTTCTAGAAGTTTCTGCGCATCCCATATTCCACGACCGCCTTCCTCGGCCCCTCTGCGACCTCTCCAAAGGCCCCTGCTGATCCAGGCTGGTGCCCGAGCCCACGGCCTTGGGGGAGCTCTGCTGCTCTCCTTACTCAGCAGAGTTCGTCCCTGGCTCGCTCGCTCACTCTCTCTTCCCTACACTGAAATCAGGACTTCCGATACCAGCTGGCTCCACCTCCCCCAGCTTTCTGGGCAGATTCTACCCAAAGGCTGACTCCAGAGGGTTTGGCCTGTGCAGTCACGCGGGGCCCTGTGCTCAGAAGGACCCTGCGCTTGGGTTAATGCTGTGCTGTCATTGCCTGGAAGTTCTTATTATTTGTTTATTTATTTGGAACCAGGGACCGTGCCCTTCACGTTGCTTGGGGACCTGCAAACTGTGTAGCTAGGCCTGCTCCCAGAAGACCCCTGGGAACCGATTCAGCTCGCTGGGTCCTTTCCCAGGGCGCATGTGCCCAGCCTCTGCAGGGCGGCAGGGAGGGAGGATTTGGGAATCAGGAGAGGCAGCAGGAAGTGTCCTCATTCAGTCCTCCCCACGGCTTATTCTGAAGAGCGGAGGCATCGCAGGAGTTCGGGGCGGGCGGGGGCGGGTGGTGATGGGCAGTCCAGGCGGGGGCAGGGAGGCAGCTGTGGTTCTGGCCTCTGTGGGCAGACGGCGTCCCCCTGACCCTGACCTCAGCCTGCCACACAGAAAACACAAAGGAGGCTGGAGGCCGGGGCACAGGGGCCAGCGCCCCTCTGCTCCCAGGAGAGCATCCCTCAGCTCGCGGGAGAAGACGACAAGACGCATTTGCCTGCAGGAACAAAGACCAAAGACATCGCCATAGGAGCTCCCAGCCTGTCTGGCAGCTGCCTGAGCCCACTGGAATTTTTCAGGTTTTTACCCCCCTGGGCTGTGCCTTTAACCCGTGCGGAAGACACATGACTGAGCTGCCCTTCCGGCCAGCATGTGACTGCCCGGCTCCGAATGCCTTGAGCAGAGCCAGGGCGGGAGTCTTGGTTCTGAAGACCCTGTGACCCCCTGTGAACTCCTGGGCAAGACTTCCTGGGGCGGTCTAGAGACCTCAGCCGCAACGCGAGGCCTCCCGCTGCCCCCAGCATGCGTGTGGCCCCGGAAAAGTGCCTTCCTGTATCTGCACAGCGAAAGGTGCCCTGCTGGGTGGTTTAGTCCTCCCAGGGGGTCTGGGTGGGAACTTATGTTTCGCTCTGGCTGTTGGATTTGCTGGCAAAGCAGCAGGAAGGAGGCTCACTCCCCTCAAAGCAGGAAGGCTGGGGCAGGCACTGGGGCACGGCCACTGAAGCCACCACTTAGGGTGCCCAGAGGGAGCAGGTGCACGCGCAGGGCGGGAGGCACGGCCTCCTGGCAACCTAACCTTGGGGAAGGCACCGTGTCACAGTTTCCCTGCTTTGTTCCCACCAGTCCCCGGCACACTCGAGGCTGGAAGGTTAAGTGAGGGTGCAGATGCCCGCAGGTGGGGAGCGGGGGGGTGCTGTCTCGGATGCCGCCTCTGCCCTAGGAGGGTGGGCGTGCAGTCTCTGCGGGCAGAGAGACCAGCACTCAAGTCCTGGCCCCGACACTCCCTAGCCTGTGATCTGGGGCAAATGATTTCACTCCTGGCAGCCTCAGCTTGTCCTTCTGTGATGTGGAAGTGACCACGGCCCCTTCCTGTCCGGTTGGGGTGGGAGAGCCTGGTATGGAGTGAACCCTCAAAGACCGGGCTGCAGGGACTTCTCGGGGGAGGCCAGGGTGACCCGCCCGTGGCTCCTGGCAAAGGAGAGCACTTCCTGCTAGCTCCATAGAAACCTGCAGTGCTCAGGCTGCTCCTGGGGACCCCAAAGCGACTTCCGGGCCCTTGGGCAGAGCCCGGGCTGCTCCTGCAGCCGGGACCCCAGCAGGCTCAGTGCTGACTCCTCTTCCTCCCCCCATCCCAGTAGGACTCTGGGGCGCAGGTGCAGCACGCAGGATTAGAGTGGGATTTGCCTCCCCCAGCTACTTAGACCTTTGTCCTCAGGGTAGGTCCATCCTGCCATCTGGCCAGGCCAGGCTGGACACTTTTGTGGGCCTGTCACTGGCTTGCCGGGCCCCTTTGACAGTCTTCCCGGGAACCCCAGTGGCCTGGCAGAGATCCTGAGCCCCTCCAGGGACTTCCAAAGGGCCTCGCCTCAGCCAGGAGCTTAGCCCAGGCCTGGAGCCGAGCAGGGCAGTTAGCATTCTCCCAGAGCTGCCTGCCTGCTGCAGTCTGGGCCCCACGTCACATTCTTTAAGGCAACAAAAGGATCAAGTTCTTCCTTATCCAGGGACCACATCTCGCCCTTGTGCTCCAAGCCTCTTTCTTGGGGAATTCATTTCAAAGCAGGGAAGTTGGGGCCGGCATGGCACAGCTGGTTAAGCCACTGCTGGGGACGCCCAGAGCCCATGTTGGAGTGCTGGTTCGAGTCCCTGCTGCTCTGCTTTTGATCCAGCTTCCTGCCAACGCTGTTGGGAGACAGCAGGTGATGACCCAAGGACTCGGGCTCCCACATGAGAGACCCAGATAGAATTTCTGTCTCCTGGTTTCAGCCAGGCCCAGTTCCAGCCATTGCAGGATGTGGGGAGTGAACTAATAGATGGAAGATCTCTCTTTCTCTCTCACTCTGCTTTTTATCATAAAATAAGTCTTAATTAAAAAGAAGGGAGGTTTTTGTCATCAGGAAGTTACGACATTCTAACATACTCAAAACAAAAGCAATAACAGAAAAAAAAATACTACAATGTATAATAATAAGGTGGGCCGACATTCAGACAGCAGGTGCCATGGGCCAGACGCTGTCATAGGAACTGCAAACATTCATTCAGTCCTCTGGACAGGGCTGAGAGAGAAGTGTGCCACTGTTACACAGAGGGGGAAGCGGACACAGAGAGGCCAAGTCTCCTACCCACAGTCATACAGCCTGTGAGTCACAGAGGCAGGGGCCACGCCCATGGGGCCCAGTGACAGCCGTGATGCCCCTCCCCCCAGCAGCAGGCGTAGCTGGCCGGGCACCCCATCTCCCCAAGACTGTGCTCTGTGCCCCTTCAACCCTGCACACCACCCTAGCCCCAACGTCCCGGGTGAGAAAACGGAGCCCAAATGACGACGGTGGAAAATGCTGGGGTGGGAATCTGGCTCTCGGGGGAGTGGGTGTGCTCTGGCCAGCTGCATCCCGCTCTGGACTGCTGGGAATGCCCTCCGTGGGCAGCAGTGGCAAGGTCACTGCTTGGGCCAGCCTGAAGATGGGACTCAGGCACTCTGCCGCCCCTGGTGTCCAACAGCGGAACTTCACCTTCCGGGGAGAACCAGGGGCTCGGAATGGCTGCTGTCTCCACTTCCCGCGGGTGATCTGAGACCGGGGGTGGGGGTGGGGGTGGGTGCGTTTCCTGAGCGCTGTCGCCTCGGTGCCAGCCACTTAGATGAATTGAAGCGCAGACACAGGGCCGTAATTGGAAGGGGTTATTCATAATATCAGATAACCTGCCTCACACATGTTGCCCAGGCAGACTGTAAATACTGTGATTATGCGCACGGAGCGGTTCCGCATGTTGTCCCAGGTCACGCAGGTCGTAGAAGCTGGGTTCAAACACAGCTGGCTGGGGCTCCAGAGCCTGTCTATTCACTACTATGGCGTGAGTACCATAATCATAATTATTAGTATTCTTCCCCCAGTACTTTAACCAAGTCTGTCTTTGCGTATTCATCCGCTGACTCAACACACACTGGCTGTGCCCCAGCCGTGCCCCAGAGCTCAGCACCTGCGGTGTGCCTGCGCGCACGTGGAGCCTGGAGGACCCAGGGCCGCGCCTGGAAGTCCTGCCATTCCTCTGCTGCTCCCTGCTGGCCCGCGCCCCTCTCCCCCTCCTCCTCCCCCTCCCCCTCCCTACTTCCAGGTGGGGCAGGGCACAGAGCGGCTCCTGCCAGGGTGCCCACGGGGAAGCTGATGAGGCTGGCAGGCTGTGGTGAGGCCAAGGGTCTGGGGGGCGCAGCTCTCCACGCTGCCAAGCTGGGACAAGGCTGGCCACCCCCCGTGCCTGTCTCTCCAGGTGTAAGAGGGGGCTGAGGCTGCCTGCCCACCCCCCAGGATTGTTCTGGGTGGAAAGCCCACGGAAGCGTGGAGCGCCGGGCCCACAGACAACAGGCCTGTCCTAGGATCCTTTCTTTGCCTGCTGGTCCCTTCACTCGGTTGGTTTGCCCTTGGCGTCCGCCAGGAGCCCCGTATGTGGCGCGGGGGAGGGGAGAGCAGACCCCCGAGTGTGGGGCGCTCATGGTCCTAGTGGATGTCCAGGTGAGAAAGGACATGCACTAGCATATGGAGACTTGGGTCCCCACTCCCGGAACAAGGGTGCCTGTCACCCTGTCACCCCGCCACCGGCGCTGTGCTGAGCCTCTGCCACTCACCGCCCCAAGGAGACAAAATGACCCCAAGGCCTGCCTACTTCCGGATTCTTGCCAGGTGAGTGATGGGGCCTTGAGACGCTGACCTGGCAGGTTCCCTGAAGGCGCAAAGTGCTCCCCGGTGGCCAGGGCGAGTTGGAGGCTGTGCCATCAGGCGTGGGCTTTTCACAGGAAACCTGGCTGCCTCCTGCAGGGAGGGCTCAGGTGCCCCACACTGGGGTGGGTTCCATTGTTGGAGGATGGGGCTGGCTTTCCTCCTCTGGGAGGCTTAGACACTTCTCCAGGGACACACAGCAAGTCCAGGGATCGGGAGGACTGACCGCTGCGCGTGGGGAGGTGCAGGGTCTCACCGCCCCCAGGCCCTTCCTGAATTAGAGGTGCAGGAGTTGGGGCTGGGGAAGCCGAGGACCAGGCAGGGTCGCGGTGCAGGGTGGAGGTGGGGCGCGTGCGGGGTGGGGAGCGTCACAGTTACGTAACGCCCCTCCTCCACCCCAACGGCCCACACTCCGGGGCCCTCTGGGGCCAGGAGGCCATCTGTCCACACATGCTCACGGCTGCTTTCTCTGCATCACCGGCTGTGCCCCTCTGCCCACCAGGACCCAGGCACAGCAGCTGGAGCCACTCCCGGCTTCCAAGACCCTAAAGGCAGAGCGCGAACGGCCCTCGTCACCACCCACCCCTGCACAGCACAGGCAGACCAGGGGCGTCCAGGGCCTCGGGGGCCCCCAGGGAGATGGGGAGGGGTCTGCGTGGGTCTAGGCCAGGGAGCGAGGCAGCCAGCAGGCACTAACTCAGTCCCCAGGGGCCCAATCAGAACTGGTCCTGCGTTCTTTTCCCACGATTGTCCTTCGGGTATTTTTGGAGCCTGCTCCGGGAGGCAGATTCGTTGGAGGGAGGCCGGGCACCTGCCCCCTGACGGGCCCCTTAGCAAGCAAGCAGAAATGTGTTCTTGTCTTTACCCTTGACCTTTGAGAGTGGAATGTGTCTCTGCCCTCGGCGCAGCGGAGGCCGTGCGTGGGGACTCCTGGGGTGAAGAGCAAGCCCACAGCGCCGGGAGCACGCTGTGCGCTCGTGCGCAAGCTCTGTCCTCGCGCCCCGCGTTACCCTCAGCGAGCCGTGCTCTGGCTCCAGCCCCTTCCCGTCTTGTCCAAGAAAAGCATCTCGGGTCTGAGACCATAGCAGCAGCTCGGGCTGCTGTGCAGCTGTCGGCACCACAAGCCTTCGGGGCGCTGTCTCCTGTAATTTCTCCACCGCCCTATCTGAGGCGGTTGCTAATCTCATACCCATTTTAAAGCTGAGTATACTGGGGTTAAGAGCAAGGCAAGCAAAGGTTGTGAACTGGTGGCCCTAAGGGCTTCATCTGGCCTGTGAATGCTCTTTTGTTTCCTAGAATTCTATTTAAAAACAGCTTTCTAAAAGCTAGTTGCTAACTTTTTTTTAAAGATTACATTTATTTATTTGAAAGGCAGAGTTACAGAGAGAGAGAGAGAGAGAATCTTTCATCCACTGATTCACTCCCCAAATGGCCACAATGGCTGGGGCTGGGCCAGGTCGAAGCCAGGAGCCAGCAGCCTCACTTGAGTCTCCCATATGGGTGCAGGGGCCCGAGGACTTGGACCATCCTCCACTGTCCCAGGCAGGCATGCGTGTTAGCAAGGAGCTGGATTGGAAGTGGAGCACCTGGGACACGAACTGGCACTCACATGGGATGCCAGAGTCGCAGGCAGTGGCTCAACCCCCTGGGCCACAACCCTGGCACCTGCCAACATTTTTATACAATGCCAATAGACACCCCAGGTTCAGATCTTCAGATGTTTTTGTGGTCTATCCCTCTGCCTGTCTGTCTGGGACACATTGCCATTGCGCCCTCCTGGGAGCCCCCTCTGTGGCGGGCGGGAAGGAGCCCTGGGCAGGGAGTCAGATGTGGGTGTTCTGTGGCTGGGTGACCTGCAGGGACACTTCCTCTCTCCCTGGCCCTCACCTATAGAATTAGGGGTGTGGCCCAAAGATGGCCACGCCCCTTTCCTTCCTATTGGCCTCACCAAGGCTCCTGGCAGCGGCAGAGCCCCCTGGGAGACAGGCAGGGATTCAGACAGGCCAGGGCAGGCTTGTCCACCAGAGCTGTCCTGTGGCCCCGAGGGCCAGCCAGCAGGGGGACCTCCCCGTCCCGCTGATCCAGAGGTTTGCCAAGCGACCAGGGTGGGGGGGTGGGGGGTGGGGTTCAGCCTTGAGGCATCCTCTGACCCCTAATAACCTAATTGCCCGGAAACGAAAGATGCCGGAGCAGGGAGGTGGAGCCGCCTGTCCCTGTCCGGGTCAGCCTGGGGTCTGGGCACTAGGCAAACCAGCCAGGGCTCGGTGCCGCTAGGCAGTCCCAGGGACACAGAGAGCTTGCGCTCAGCCTCCCCTGTCTTCCCTGATGAGCCCTCCACAGCCCAGAGAGGGGCAGCGACTGTCCAGGGTCACACAGCAAGTCAGCGTCAGAGCTGGACAAGGGCTTCATCTTCCTGAGCTGCCTCCTGGGGGCACTTCCCATGCTCTCGCTCTCTCTCCCTTCGGGAATTTAGATCCTGCCCACTTCTTGGCACTGGACTTCAGAAGCGGGTGGGGGTGGCCACGTGGGCACGGGCTGTCTGCCCAGTTCGGAGGCCTGGCCCGGACAGGGCTTGTCTGGGATGCCCGGGACACAAACCCCTGGGAGGCGCGGGCTCGGGGCTGCTGCGGGGCTGCCGGCAAGGTGGCAGAGCTGGCAGCCGGAAGCCCGTGCTGGGCTCACCCATACGTGTTGTTTTTCCCCCGCAGTGGTTTTAACAATGCACGTGAGCTGCCAACATGGGAGAGTCAGAATTCACATCAAAGTCAGCATTTCTGGCATCTAATGGGAAAAATAAAAAGACCTCAAGAGCTAACAGGAGCTGGGCCACACCTTCTGCCCCGCAGCGACTGGCAGGGGCAGGGGCGTTGACCATGCCCGGCCTTCCCTCGCTTGTATTCACTGGTTTATTTGGAATGCAGACAGAGAGAGAGAGAGAGAGAGAGAGAGAGAGAGAGAGCTCGCTGGCCTACTCCACAAATGCCCACAACAGCCAGGGCTGAGCCAAGCCCAAGCCAGGAGCCTGGAGCTCCACCCAGGTCACCCTCGTGGGTGGCAGGCACTCACTGCTTGAGCCATCACCTGCTGCCTCCCGGGGCACACGTGAGGCGGAAACTGGAAGCGGGGATGCGGCCGGGACTTGAACGCAGCCCTCTGAGATGGGACTCGGGGGTCCCGAGCTGCGGCGTAACTGCCTGTTCCCACTCCTCTTGCTTTTGTGCCCACCCCTCCCTCAGACAGCCCCTCCGAGGCTAAAGCCACAGCCTCTCCCATCCCGGTCCTCGTGAGATAAGCGCCAGCTCCCAGTGATTCTCAACCAAGGGGCAGTTCCCGCCCAGGGGACCCCGGGCCATGGTGTGGGGACAGTGTGGTTGGGACAGCTGGGGAGGCCGGGTGCTGTTGGCACCCCAGTGGGTGGGACCAGGGTCTCGGCTCAGCTTCTGAGAGTGCACGGGACAGCAGCACAGCGGGGACGTCCTCGGTGCTGGCCCTGGGTGACTGAGAAGGGCTTGGGGCAGCCTCTCGTTGGCACTCCTGGGAAAGGACACAGCGGGGTGGCCTCTCAGGATGATGGTCAAGGAGGACTTGGGGGGGAGCCGCAGCCAGTCTGGGCAGCCCCAGGCCTCAGCATTGCTCTGGGTGCCAGAGTCTGAGTGGCTGGATTAAGGCCAGGGTTGGGCATGCATGCACCATGCATTTATTAAGCACCAACTGCATACAAAGCGGCGTGAAGTGTGGTGGGAGAAAGTGAGGGTGTGGACGACGTGGCCCTGGCCCAGAGGTGACCAGCAGAGAAGGGGTCCTGGGGATACCGAGGGGTCTCGTTAGGCAAAGAGCGTTGCAGTCTCCCGAGCAGAGACGGGAGGCGGTCCGGCCTGGGACAGGCGCAACCTAGAACAGCAGAGGTGGCGAGCGAGGCCGTCTGGACAGGGCACAAGGTGCAGTAGCAGCGACAGTGTCACAGGCACGCGCGGAGACCAGATGCCATCGGCAGGTGGGAGGAGCCTGCGGAGGCAGAGGGCCTGCGACCGCGGGAGAGGGCTGCCGACGGGGGAGGCGCCCGCACCGCGCCAGCACAGCCAGCGCCCAGAAGCTAGCATTGCAGTCCTAGCCCAGCCTGGCACAGCAAAGGCCTACTTGGCACTGGCGAAAGCCAGGGTGGGGGGTGGGGGAGGGCATCGAGAAACAGCTGAGCAGGTGCCCCCCAACATGCCTCTCTGGAGCCCCTGGCCACCCCCTCAGGCTCTTCAATATCTCAGGACGCGACTGGCGATGTGGCATAGCAGGTAAAGCCGCTGCCTGCGGTGCCGGCATCCCATCTGGGTGCCGGTTCGAGTCCTGGCTGCTCTGCTTCCAATCCAGCTCTCTGCTATGGCCTGGGAAAGCAGTAGAAGATGGCCCAAGCCCTTGGGCCCCTGCACCCATGTGGGAGACCAGGAAGAAGCTCCTGGCTCCTGGCTGTGGATAGGCACAGCTCTGGCCGTTGCGGCCATCTGGGAAGTGAACCAGCGGATGGAAGACCTCTCTCTCCCTCTCTTCCTCTCCTCTCTCTCTATGTAACTTCGACTTTCAAATAAATACATGAATCTTTAAAAATGTCTCAGGACGCCGTGCCCGGCCTGGAGCATCCTTGTCTCATTTGAGCCCTTGCTCTTTCCCCTCCCACTCCAGCTCAGAGGACACGGCTTCCGGAAGCAGATGAGGGCAGGCCCGGGCAGAAACCTCACGGCGCCCTCGTCTTTGCGCCCAGAGCGTTTCATTTTCCTTACCTGCCTGCCTTCCTCCACTCCCCCACCTCTCTCTCTCTCTCTCTCTCTCTCTCTCTCTCTCTCTCCCCCCTTCGTTAAGGTTTATTTTTATTTATTTGAAAGGCAGAGTTACAAAGAAAGAGAGAGAGAGACAGAGATTTTCCATTTGCTGGTTCACTCCCCAGATGGCCACAACAGCAGGAGCTGGGTCAGGCCAAAGCCAGGAGCCTGGAACTCCATCCGGGTCTGCCGTGTGGGTGCCATTGGGTAGGAGTGGAGCAGCTGGGACTCAGACTGGCCCCTCGGAGGCGACTCAGGTGCCATGAGCTGCGACCTAACTCTCTGTGCTGCTGAATCATTCACCGTTCACGTTCAGGTTCACTGGGCACTGGGCAGCGAGCTGAGCCCACGTGCTGGACGGTTTCTGTTGAAACGCTGGCAGGGCGTGCTGGCCTGTGCTTGTTTCTAACGTGGGTTAGTGGGCTCTGGACGATGTGCCAGGTGTGGGCTGTGGGGGCTCGTCTCCAATGTGGGCCATTCCCAGGTGCCCAGGAGACAAGCCAGCCGGAGTCTCTCTTCCCAGCGTGCCTTTCCTGCGCCGCAGAGAAGAGCCGCCCTGGGGACCAGGAAGGAAGAGGCCCTATCCCAGACGGTTGGGAAATAACTCAGTTTGCACCTGGTGGAGAGACCTGCGCAGCGGCCTCTCCAGCTGGGGACGCGACAGGCAGCACGCGAGCCTGGCTGGGCTGCTGCCCGGGGACCTGGCAGGGACAGGCCAGGGGACCGCCGCCCCGTGGCAGGTGTCTCTGCTGTGGGAGCTGCTTCACAGAGCTGTGCCCACAGCCAAAGCTCAGCACCACGGCACTTGCTTGGCACCCACCCGGTGCCAGGTTTTTAGATGTGTTTCCCGCCTCCGATCCCCAATGCAGACCCTGTGGGGGGAGGGGAAGTGCTAAGCCCCTTTCATGAATGAGGAAGAACGAGGCACCTGCAGGGAGGCCACACAAGGAGGAAGTGGCTGAGCTGAGGTCGGGACTTGGTTCTGACAGCTCAAAACCAAGCCTCTAACAATCCTGTGATGCTGCCAAACCAGCCCCGCTAACCACCCAACTACCCGACCAGGTGACCAGTCAACCTCCCGCCAGCTTGCTCAGGAGGAGCCCGGGGCGGGCTCTTGCCCTAGCTGTGCGACCTTTAGCAGTTTACTTAACATTGCCCGGGCTTTATTTGCCCTATCTGTAAAATGGAACAATAACGCCTCCCTCTCCCTGCTAAGTGAGTGAACGCATGCCCGTTACAGAATTAGCATTCAGTACACCGTACGTCTCCATGTCAGGGAGGGGGACTGTGAGTGTTCAGAATCAGTCTGGTTTCTAATGGGAAGTTTACAAATCGATTTATAAAGCAAAGCAGCTTTTGTTATGAAGCCTGTGCCGGAGAGGGGGTGGAGTGGTGAACTGGTCACGCCATCCCCGGCCATCCCGTGCTTTAGCCACAGGGACAACAGAGTGGACCCCAGGCTCCCATTCTCGCCTGTCTCTGCCCATCTGGCAGGTGCACTGGGGTCTTCCAAGTGCCCCACCCACGGCCAAGTCTGACCCTTCGTGCCCAAGGAGGGGCACCCGGCGGAGAGCAGTAGCCTGGGTACCTGGAGCAGGCTGCCCGCCCAGCCTTTAGGGCCCCTGGGTGCCCACTTGCAGGGGCGTGGGCATCGGTGGCTGCTGCTTGTCTGGTCCCAGGGCCACTGCACAAAATGCGCCGCATCCCAACCGCTTGCCCTGAAAACCGAGTCTCGGACCAGCGTTTGAGGTGACAAGCGTGGAGACGCTGTGGGCCTGGTGCTTTTTTTGTCCTTTTCTGGCTTTTTCCATATCCAGAGTCCTTCGTGGGTGACTGGAGAGACCAGCGTTCAGAGACGAGGAGGGGCGGGGTGAAGGTTTCTTTATCGTTTTGTGTAGTTTTTGGAAAACTACAGCAAGAACGACAGAACACCGGGCGCCGTCCGTTCCCAGGGCCTGGCTGTGGCCGGCTCACCTGGGCCTCCCTGGCCTCACCTTCCTGCTGGTGGGGGGCAGGGGCTGGCCCTGCCGCCCACTGCTCTCACCGCCACCGGGCCATTTCCCAAACGTCTGCCCAGCTGGCCAGAGGACCTGTATTTTCCCGGCCCCAGCTACACATTAGTTGCTCCTTGGAAACAGCACGGAAGCTTTCAAAATTGCAGTTGTTAGACCAGGGGGATCTTCGCGCCCGCGAAGCCTCCTGTCCATCACAGCGCGTCCTCGGAGCTCGTCTGCCCCCAGCCCGGACCCGGGGAAGTGGCATTTTGCAGTGTGTGCACGCGGCTGCCAGGGGCGTCACCTCGCCAGGGGCGTCACACCTCGCCAGGCCCGCGTGTCCCTAAGGGGCTGGGGGGCGGCCCCCGCCGTGTGCGCCTGCGCACCTGTGCACATTTCCTTTGTCGGCTTTAGTAGCGCAAAGTGCCTGGCCCCTGCTGGAGACCCTCGCAGTCCCCCTCCCCGGAAGAGAGGGGCTTGCCAGTGTCTCCTTAAACAGGGCAAGGCTCCCGCCTACAGCCACTTCCCTTCCGCCAAACGCTGAAGACTCTAGGGAGGAGACAGCAGAGGGAGGGGAGGCTGGGGCAGCGAGTGGAAGGGGAGGGGCTTCACGATCTTGGCTACAAACGCTGAACTTCTCTTTGAGTCTTCTTGGGTGCCTGTGTAGAGCCAGGGCCCAGCTAGGACGTGAGGCAGGGGCTTGGCCCCTAAATTCCACGTGCAGAAGCGGAAGCCACGGCCGGGGACTTCATCACTCAAGTCCTCGCTCAGAGCCCAGCTTCAGGTTCACAGTCTCAACCACCGACAAATCTCCCGCGAAACGCAGGCCGGGAGGGCTGTGGCCTCTGTCAGCGGGAGGGGACCAGAGGGGACACATCACCAGGCGTGGCTGCGGCCCCGAGGCCCTGGGCTCCCTGACCCTTGCTTTTGGCCACCTGCCTTGCTGGCTGCATCTGTGAACCTGACCTGGTGGAACATTCCACGTTCCTGACCTTGGCACAGAGGTCTTTGGGTCCCTGAGTCTCTCATTCGGCACACCTGCTCGGGGGCTCCCGGTGACAGCCCCTCAGGCGACAGAGCTGAGCCCCGGGTGACAGCGATTGGCTGCAAACCAGCGTCTAGGGGAGGGGTCCGGAGCAGTTGGCGGCCTTGTGTGCCTCGCCCGGGCGCGGGGGACGAGCTGGCAGGTGCCGTGAGGATGCTCACACGCGGGCCATTCTGGGACACGCTCGTGGTTGCGGGGCTGGGAGCTCTTCCTGCCAAGGGCTGTTTGGGTACTGATAACACCATCCGCGGCCCATTCACAATTACCCACTTGAAAACGAGCCTGTTTTGGATGTGCTGAACTTCAAGCGCTGCCTGTGGTCGCCTTGGCAGGGGCCCGCGGGCCTGGTACTTTCCACGGGATGGACGGCCGCCAGGCGGGCTGAGGGGGACGAGGATACAGGGTCATTCGTCCGACGAATAGCTACGAGAAAAGCCACCAGGTGTCAGGCTCTGGGCGCTAAGCCCCTGCCCCGTGTGAGGCTTTGGGAGCTGACGCTGAGCTGGGAGCGCCAGCCAGCCTCTCCCACCACTGCTTTCCCTGTCTGCCAGTCCCGCACCCCTGCGTGTGCGCGTGCACCTGCACCCCTGCACGGCCCTGCTGTTCCCTGTGAGCTGCAGGTGCTGTCTCAGGCCCGCAGGCTCCCGCCCCTTCTCCCAACGCAGCAAGGCCCCCTCGGCTTCCTCGGGTCCGTCCACGACTTCCCAAACCCGCGCAGTTTTCAGCTTCCTGTCCTCAGCCCCCATCTGCCGACCAGAAGCTGCAGGACCCGGATGAAGCTTCGGCTTGACCTGCCGGACCCCGGACTGCACAGCGCGCTGGCCGCACAGCCGCCGGGGAGAGAGGGCACGGGACTGGCAGCCCGCGGGAGCTCGTCCCTGGCTTGCGCCGACCTCCCGGCTTCTGCCTCTCGCTTTGATCAGGGGAAGTTGGTGATGGAGTGTGACAGCGCGGCTTCCGTCCCCCTGTGGCTGAGCCACGTCCCCGATTCCCTTTCTGTGCCGGTGATCGTGGCGTGTCTTTGCTTCCAGAGATGAACACGAGGATGACGAAGCCGGCGTGTGTGGGTGGAAGGAGCCCCGGGGACAGGAGCGGGGCGCTGGTTCCCCTGGGCGATGCCTTGGCGCTGACACCTGTGCGCACCTGCGGGGCTTCCACCCCCAGGTACCATTCATGGAGCACCGTGCTCTCTCTCTGCCTCCTCGGGCAGTGGGAGCGGTTCTTTCCCCACGAGGTCCACATCACCGACATCTCCCCACTTCACACTCGCCTCCTCCCCAGTGCACCTGCCACGTGGTTCACAGGGTGTGACCTTGGCCAGCCCCTGGGGTGAGCCGGGTTAGTTTATTTTTTTTAAAGGAAGATTTATTTAGTATTTATTTGAAAGAGTTACGAGCTGGGGTGGGGGGTGGAGAGAGCTTCCATCCACTGGTTCGTTCCCCGATGGCTGCAATGGCAGGGGCTGGGCCAGGTGGAAGCCAGGGGCCTGGAATGCCATCCAGGTCTCCCGGGTGGATGCAGGGACCCAAGGACTTGGGCTGTCCTCTGCTGCTTTCCCAGGGGATTAACAGAGAGCTGGATCGGAAGTGGAGCAGCCGGGACTTGAACCGGTGCCCATATGGGATGCCAGAGTCACAGGGCCACAGCGCTGGCCCCTCGCACCTGCATCGTTATCCGGCACTTTCGATGATGCAGCCTAGGGAGCCCCGGTGAACTTGTAGACCCTGCGGTCCCCCTGCACAGCCCCCCCCCCCCCCCGCCTCGCTGTAACCACGTGGAAGCTCTTCCTACGGCGACGGAGAGGAAGCTCCCTGACCACGCGGGGCCCGGCAGCCTCTCGGTTCTCTCAACGCTGGCAGCTTGCTCTCACCCATTCACTGCCTGACTCCGTGCTTACCTCACACCCCTCCCCCACACCCCCTTCCTACCAAGCCCCTTACTCACGGGACTCCCTCAGCTTCTTCACAGTCTGTCTCCCACCCCCAGCACTGCAGTGCACACACATACACACACACCCCCACTTCATTTCCTTGCCTGGCCAACTTCTCAGCATTAAAATCTCAGGGAACACGCCACCTCCTCCAAGAAGCCCTCCTTACTACGTACACCAAAGTAGCCTCCTCTTGCCCCTCTTCCTTTGCTTTTCTGCTCTAGCCTTGAGGACCCTCAGCTGCCCTAACACCACTCTTTGGGCAGACCAGGAGGGGCGCTGAGGTCACGGTCACGGTCGAGCCCAGGGGACACAGCGGCTTCGATGGGGCAGAGGACAGAGCCTCCTGACGCTGGAGTTCACGGCCTGCAGCTGAGCACAGGGTCACGTGGGGCACCACGGCTGCTGTGAACCGGCCGAGGCCCCCGGCTCCCCTGGAAGCTGAGCCCCTGGCTGTGATACACATCGGCCGACGACAAGGTCACGCATGGCCTTCGTGGCCGTCATGTCCAGTCCTAGAGCGCTGGTGTGATCGCAGGGGAAAGCTACTGAGAGCTGGGTGGGGGGCTCGGGCAGTGTGGGTGGGACTGGGCTGATCAGGCTGCCGCGGCCCCGCCCCAGCCAGGGAAAGGGAGCTGAAGCTGCAGCAGAGCATTGTGGGTGCTGACCGGCATAGCCGCCTGGCGCCCCGAGTGCGTGCCAGCGTGCCAGGTGCGGCAGGGGAGGTGAGGACCTGCGCTGGGCACAGACAGCCACGGCCCCACGGCCGCAGCCCAGACTCCGGGGCTGCCCAGAGAGGAAGCGAGTGGGAGGAGGTTCAGGCGACAAACGCCAGGAGCAGCGGCTGCAGACTCGCCCTCCTCCTGACCCCGCCTCCGTGGCACTGGTAGAGCAGGCCGCTCGCGCTGAGTGGGTGTGAGCCCTGGGACGTTCTGAGTGGGTGTCCCTGAGGCTGATGTGGCCGCACAGGGTCTCAGACCCTGGAGAAAGCTGCAGGGAGAGTCACTCATGCGGTTCACTGACTGAGCGCCTGCTGTATACCTCACCTCGTCCCTGGCACCGGGAACACACAGATGAAGGGCACTGTGCCTGCCTTCATGGAGCTTAGGGTCCCACGGGGCTCAGAAGGCAGGGGCTAAAGACGGGGCAATGACGTCAGCACAGGCCGCAGCGGGACCCCCAGATTGGAGTGAGAGGCCGAGGGTGCAGCAGGAGCTGAAGCCTGAGCCGAGACAGGAAACCACCAGTGGCCAGCGGTGACAGAGCACATACGGTACACCATGGAAGGCTCTTGGCCCTCGCGTCTCCAATACACTCAGCCTTCCTGGGAACAGTTCCCCCATTTCACAGATGACAAAACTGAGGCCCAAAGCAATTAAGAAATATTCCTGGTCCTGCACAGCTGGTTAGGGGGGAGTTAGGGAGCAGCATGGAGTGAACCTGGCATGCGAGGATCTGAGGTTGGCTCAGGTGAGTCTGTAGCACGGGCCGTGGGCTGGGGGGCAGGGGGTGGTGCTGAGGGCGTGGCGGGAAATTCGCCATTTGACTCAGCAGTGGCAGCTGGTGCTCCGGGGGGCAGCACCCTGGCTCTGGTGGGCCGGGAGGACAACTGTGCTATTGGGGAGTTCGGGCAGGACACCTGCCGGCAGGGGGCCGTCCCGCTGAGCGGTGCTGCCCTCCCTCAGCTGCCTGGCCGCCCCTTCACGCTGGGCTGAGCAGGGCTCTGGCTGCCACCCCCATGTTTCAGAGGTGTCTTCTCTCGGCTTGTCGAGTGCGTAACTCCGGTCACCCCTCTGCAGGCAGGGCTGCCGGCTCCTAAGCCGGGAGACATCCGTACAGGCAAACGCTGCCTCCCTGATGCAGGGGGTCTTCCAAATGCTGCTTGCGCCTTGCACTCAGGCTGAGGATCAGTTCTGCCCATGCTGACCTCTGGCCCTTTGGCTTCCTGGCCTCAGGGTCCAAGGTCAAGGGTGACAAACAGGTCAGAAAAAGCATTTCCGACCCTGTTCTTCCCCAGCCCACTGCCCACCCTGGAGGGGAGCAGCGGCGTGGGGGAGGGGAGGGAAGGAGTGGATCCCTCCTCCTCCCACCCTGCCTCAGCGCTCACAGAGGGAAGCCCCTGGCCCAGCTGCCCCGTGTGACTCGTCAGGGGCCATTTTCTTAATTTCTAAATGACTATTTGCATATGGAGGCTCCCTTCTGCAGGCTGCCAGCCTCATGATGGGAGGGCCCGGATCTGACTCGGGTCATCACCATATCACAGCACCTGTGCACCCGGCACACAGTAGGCGCTCATCAGCTCATCAATATTTGCAGGAGGAAACCCGAGTGGAGGCTGATCCTCCCTCCTTTCCTCCCACCTTCCCTCCTTCCAACACTTGCACCGGGACAGAGATGAGTCGGATGACACGGATGACGCTGCCGGGCCCCGGCCCAGGTGGCTGAGCCTGCAGAGGTCCCCACGGCTCCAGGGCGGAAGCCTCGGGGGCTTGTTCGCTCAGACCTGGGTGCCGTGAACAAGCCCAATACCCCTGAGCCACGGACACGCGGGTACAATGGTCAGGGGCGGAAGGTCATCCAGATGTCTGCTCTGGAGTTGTTCTCGGGGCTTCCCTGTGACCTCCCAGCCCCTGACCGTCCTGCTCCGTGCAGCACCCCCTCCCCCATAGGGACCCCTGCATCGTGGGGGAGGGGAGGCTCTGTGGGGGTGTCCTGGGGACGCTGGCCTGGGGTTATAGACCCACACATGACCCAAGGACTGTAGGATACAGAAAGTGAGAGCGAGAGGGAGAGGGAGAGGGAGAGGGAGAAGGCCCCAAAAGCAGATGCCTCCCTTCCCATAATGAGGGTGCAGGGAGGGCATCGTGGGACCCGGGCTGTCAGAGATGCCCAGAGGCAAGCCCAGGGCTGGGTCCCAACTCTTCTCTGCCAGGAGGGTCTGTCCCTGGAGTTGAGAATTAAATGCCGGTAGCAGGTGCAGGCTGGGCTCCCCGGAGACCCCGAGACGACATTTTGGCCAGGAACCAAAGCGCAGCTGACAGCATTGCCACCACCCCCGTCTGACTCTGCCCACTGCCTGGCCAGCATCCTTCCTGTGTGCATCTGCTCGGCTCCCAGTCCTTTGGAGGAAAGAGACAGCCCAAAGGCAGGAGGTGGAGGTGGGGATCCTCCCGATAGCTTCCGGGTCACACCAACAGAGCCCCCGCACCATAAAACCTCACCCAGCGGACTGCAGCGCCTGGAGCGCCGAGAGCTTCTGACCACCTCGCCGCACCCCATCCCTGCTGTGGAGATCACGTCACACAGGTTCTCGTTTTAAAAGGGATGTGGACTAGGGCCGGCACCGCGGCTCACTAGGCTAATCCTCCGCCTGAGGCGCCGGCACCCCGGGTTCTAGTCCCGGTTGCTCCTCTTCCAGGCCAGCTCTCTGCTGTGGCCCGGGAGTGCAGTGGAGGATGGCCCAAGTGTTTGGGCCTGCACCCCATGGGAGACCAGGAGAAGCACCTGGCTCCTGGCTTCAGTTCAGCGCGGTGCGCTGGCCGCAGCGACCATTGGGTGGTGAACCAATGGAAAAGGAAGACCTTTCTCTCTGTCTCTCTCTCTCACTGTCCACTCTGCCTGTCAAAAAAAAAAAAAAAAAGGGATGTGTACTCATGGCATTAAAATTCACGAGTCAGAGTAAGTCAGAAGAAAAGCCTAAATCACCTATAAAATTTTACTGCCCTTGTTAGTCATAATACTTGGCTTTTTTCCCTTTTAGAGAAACATAGGACAACATAGAATTTTCCAGAACCTTGATAGCATTATGTAGATTACCCGTCCTTTTTTTTTTTTTTTTTATTCAAGAGCGGTGTATGGACATTTTCTCATATAAATAAGAGCAATTTTGAATGAGTGGTCTTTAACCCAGCACGCGGAAGGCTTGTGCAAATACAGACTTCCGGGTCATAACCCGGGAGCCTTTGGTGGGTCAGCCGTGGAGCCTGCAGACCCCACTCCGATGTCAGCTCCCCGTTCAGAATCCCGACCTGCAGGAACCCCTCACAGAGCCCCTCACAGAGCCCCTCACAGAGCCCCTGCTACAGAAGGGAGCAAGGCTTCCGCTTGGCATCGGGAATTCGCACACTGTCAGCTTTCACGGGATGCCCTGGGTTGGCGGATTCGGTGTCTTTGTCCCATCCTTGCTGCCACAGACAGCGTCCCAGCGCCCAGAAGGAGACTGGGGCCCTGCGCCACCCTGGGGCTGTGGAGAGGTCACACGACGTCTCCAAGACGGATTTCTCCATCAGGAAGTCGGGCTGCGCACACCACGGAGCCATTTTTCCCGGGGGCGGGGCTACCCAGAAAGGGCTCTGTGCTCAGTCTTCCATCACAGAGACACTCGGATTTCCTGCATCAACCTGTCCGTTCCCTGCGGTTCCAGCGGAGCACGCTTTGCCTCCTCAGAGCCCTGCCTCGCAGAGCTGGAGGGTGACGGAGCCTGGCAGGCGGGTTCTGCGCAGCCCCTGTGGTCCCCGGGGCAGGCTCCTGGCTTCGGACTTGGAGCTCTGGGATCCACCCCACTCTTCCCTTCCCAGCAGGTATGCAGCATAACACCTGCTACTTTTTTTCTATTATTGTTTGAGAGGCAGAGAAAGAAGGGAGAGAGAGAGAGAGAACCCCCATCCAGTAGGAGCTCAGTCCAGGTCTCCCACAGGAACGGTGAGGGCCCAGCTCCTCCATCTGCCATCCTGTTGCCTCCCAGGGTCTGCACGGGCCAGGAGCTGGAGTCAGGAGTCAGAGCCAGGACTCGAACCCAGGGCCTTCGATGTGGGCGTCTTCAGTGCAGGGCCAAACACCTGCTCCTCTGACAACCTTAGCTCACAGGGGGCTCTGTTCCCTGAGGTTGCCACCTGCTGAGAGGGGCTTGGAGGGTGGGCACTGGAGCAGTAGCTGTCCAGCGGCAGGCCTTTGCTGGGGTCACCTGGGTGGTCCCTGGCCTTGGCTCTTGACCCCTGGTGGTTTTACTCTGTCCCACCTTGGGACTCTGTCAGCAAGGAGGCCACTGCCCTAGATGGGCCCTTGACCTTGAGGGACCCTGAGCTCAACGCATCTTTTTTGTCATAAAGCTGCCCGGCCTCAGGTGTCTCGTGATAGTAATAAAGACCTGACCTCCATGGAAGGGTGGGGGCCCCTCCTCACAAAACAGACCCTGAACAGGCACGGAGCAGCGTAGAGATGCCACGCGGGGTGGGAGGGGCGGTCACGGTGCCTGGGGGACCCTCCGAGAGGCTGGGGGAGAGGATGCAGCCCAGAACTGCCTCTCAAGCAGGGGGAAGAAGGGGACCCCCACGGCCGGCAGCTGCACCCAGGCCTTCACCTCTCTGGCCCTTGCGGGCCTGCTCCGAGTGCGTGGCGTTAGAATATCCTCGGGGATGGAGGCCCAGCAAGTCCCAGGTGTGTCTGCAGACAGGTGGCTCCTGAAGACCCCCTGCGTGGCTCCGGCTTCCTGAGTGATGGGTGACATCACTGCAACCCTGACCCAGCACAGCCCAGCCTAGCCCAGCCCAGTGCAGCCCAGCCTAGCCCAGTCCAGTGCAGCCCAGCCTAGCCCAGTCCAGCGCAGCCCATCCTAACCCAGCCCAGTGCAGCCCAGCCTAGCCCAGTCCAGCGCAGCCCAGCCCAGTGCAGCCCAGCCCAGTGCAGCCCAGCCTAGCCCAGTCCAGCACAGCCCAGCCTAGCCCAGTCCAGCGCAGCCCAGCCCAGCGCAGCCCAGCCTAGCCCAGTCCAGCACAGCCCAGCCTAGCCCAGCCCAGTGCAGCCCATGCTGATCACCCCCTCTGTCGCCTTCCGACTCCAGGTTACACCTTCCCCGCGGCCCCTGGCGCCACTCCGGTGCAGCCTGGGCTGGAGACCACACCAAGCCTGCAGCAGTGGCTTGCTCAGCACCTCTACAGCCTGGGGACGCCCGCCCCCCCAGCCGTGGCTCATTAAGGGCCCTGAAAGGCCACGCCCCCGGGCCAAGCCTTTAGCAGCACTTCACGGAGCCCTACGCCGCTCCTCACCTTTAGGGAGCGTTGTCCGTCCAGCCCTGTGCTAATGCTCTCTCTACATCATCTCTGCTCCTTCCCGCCATCCTGGCCGGGAGCTGTTTCCCGTCATTGTCCCTGGCTGGCGGATGTGGGCAGGTGGCGCCCAAAGCTGTGAGATGCAAAGCCAGGCCTATCTCTGAAGCCCATGCCCGTTCTTTTATAAATAAATTCTTATGTCATACTTGATGTACGAAATAATAAAATAATAAAAATATGCAAGATTTTCACTTGCAAGTTCTGAAGTGTGATACAGAAAACAACA